ACACAATGTAATAGTTAAAATAACCGCACACGAAATGTAATAATTTAATAACCGCACACACAATGTAATAATTTTAATAACCACACACACAATGTAATAATTTTAATAACCGCACACACAATGTAAGGATTAATAACCGCACACACAATGTAATAGCTTTAATAACCGCACACACAATGTAATAGTTTTAATAACTGCACACACAATGTAATAATTTTAATAACCGCACACACAATGTAATAGTTAAAATAACCGCACACACAATGTAATAATTTTAATAACCGCACACACAATGTAATAGCTTTAATAACCGCACACACAATGTAATAGTTACAATAACCGTGAACACAATGTAATAATTTTAATAACCGCACACACAATGTAATAGCTTTAATAACCGCACACACAATGTAATAGTTTTGAAGGGTATCGACGCACTCACCTTAGGTAAGTTTTCACTTATAAAGCGTAGAGTGCCCTTAATATAGAATATTCTGCGTCATTTTAAGGCAAAGATGGATATATGGTTGATGTATCTACATTTCAGTATAAACTGATACAACTGATACACATGGGATACATGTAGTCCGTGCAATTTGATACACAAGTATATATTGTTCTGAGGTGCGGATTCTACACTTATGTAATTTTATCAAAAAATCCATGCTAGTGGCTATTATAACTGAAGAATTACGCCTACACACATATTGCAAGAGAAGAATGTAGTCGATGTCTAGTTTATATTTATACATACAAATTCTTTCAAAGAATTGGTACAGTAGTCTGAGAGCCGCTATGATTCCACCCGACACCCACACCTGAATAACCCCAATATATAAAATCGCGTTAATTTTTGTTCATATTGCGTTAGTTTTCACCTATGGTATTGCTTTTACATATTGGGTTTACAACACCTCCAAAACGATCCTTCTGTCTAACGTAAACGCACTTCACTGTTGCCCCGGTTAAATAAATCGATACACATGCTTATCCTTGTTGACAAGGTGTCACAAGGCGTACAGACATATACATCCTTGTTGACAAGGTGTCACAAGACGTACAAACATTTATCGTGGTTCACAAGGTGTCACAAGGCGTACAGACATTGTCACAAGGCGTACAGACATTTATCCTTGTTGACAAGGTGTCACAAGGCGTACAAACATTTATCATGGTTCACAAGGTGTCACAAGGCGTACAGACATTGTCACAAGGCGTACAGACATTTATCCTTGTTCACAAGGTGTCACAAGGCGTACAGACATTTATCCTTGTTGACAAGGTGTCACAAGGCGTACAGACATTTATCCTTGTTGACAAGGTGTCACAAGGCGTACAGACATTTATCCTTGTTGACAAGGTGTCACAAGGCGTACAGACATTTATCTCGTTCACAAGGTGTCACAAGGCATCCAGACATTTATCCTTGTTGACAAGGTGTCACAAGGCGTACATACATTTATCCTTGTTGACAACGCGTCACAAGGCGTAAAGACAAGGCTTTCATCCTTGTTGACAAGGTGGAGCAAGGAGTACAGACATTTATCCTTGTTGACAAGGTGGCACAAGGCGTACAGACTTTTATCCTTGTTGACAAGGTGGCACAAGACGTGCAGACATTTGTTCTTGTTTGCTTATCGATCCAATACCACACGCACAAATCACAATAAAGCCAAGGTAGAAATATTTGAGTCGGCAAGGCAGTCACTCTAAACCCTTCCTCGGATATGGAAAGGAAAATATGTTGTGAGTCATAAACAAATAGACATTATTGAATAGAACATATAGTACTTCAGCATTTTGTTCATTTCGGACATTTGGAGGATCGTAAAGAAAATGTACAAATACATGCAGTGAGTGGTCAACCAAAAATAGGACAAGCTTTAGGGAAGCATTTTCATTCACATGTGCATCAAAAACACTGCACCCCGACCGCCCGTCTAAAACCTGCGTGAGGTGTTATGAAACAAAGGGTATACGAGCATTATACGTACATTACACCTACCAATAGTCACAGGCAGTGCCCACCAGTCCGGTGTTTACATCGCTGGAGATGCGTCGTCGGCGCTCAGTATCCAAGGATCCCTATTTTCGCTTTCGTTTCCGGTGCGTTAAAAAGTATGCTTTACACATAGGATTTATGTTTTTCACTCTTGACGAAGTATATTTGTACAGCAGTTAATCCGGAATCAACTCCCTACACATGTAGACAGTTTCTGATCGTCTTTAGTCTATACTTCTGTGTCGTGAGTGGATCTATATATCTAGTGTCTACTCTCCACTTCTGGCTGAGTGCCAGTTGGCACGTCTCTGTCAATATGCCCATACCGTATATATTCAAATGTGAACGCCCGTGCTGCTTGCCATATCTCATATACAGATTGACAAAAATGTGTCCGTTAAGGACCAAGCGGGAAATATAGCCTGGTTTTAAGATATCGTATTATGCGTAATGTTTATGTATGTGATAACCTCGGGACTGGTCTGTGTCAAACGGTAAAAGTGTTGTGTTTGTGTGTTGTACGTGTCTGACAACTTGTGTTTATGTGTTGTACGTGACTGACAATTTGTGTCTCTGCTGCACGTGTCTGACAACTTGTATTTGTGCTGTACGTGTCTGAAAATATGTGTTTGTGTGTTGTACGTCTCTGACAACTTGTGTTTGTGTTGCACGTGTCTGACAACTTGTGTTTGTGTGTTGTACGTGTCTGACAATCTGTGTTTGTGTGTTGCACGTGTCTGACAATGTGTGTTTGTGTGTTGTACAAACTTTTGCTTGTGTGTGGTACGTGTCTGACAATGTGTGTTTGTGTGTTGTGTAAACTTGTGTTTGTGTGTTGTACGTGTCTGAAAACCTGTGTTTGTGTTTTGTACGTGTCTGAAAACCTGTGTTTGTGTGTTGTACAAACTTGTGTTTGTGTGTTGTACGTGTCTGACTTGTGTTTGTGTTGCACGTGTCTGACAACTTGTGTTTGTGTGTTGTACGTGTCTGACAACTTGTGTTTGTGTGTTGCACTTCTCTGACAACTTGTGTTTGTGTGTTGTACGTGTCTGACAACTTGTGTTTGTGTGTTGCACTTGTCTGACTTGGGTTTGTGTGTTGTACGTGTCTGACAACTTGTGTTTGTGTTTTGTACGTGACTGACAACTTGTGTTTGTCGTTGTACGTGTCTGACAACTTGTGTTTGTGTGTTGTACGTGAATGAAAACCTGTGTTTGTGTGTTGCACTTGTCTGACAACTTGTGTTTGTGTGTTGTACGTGAATGAACACCTGTGTTTGTGTTCCACTTGTCTGACTTTTGTTTATGTATTGTACGTGTCTGACAACTTGTGTGTGTGTTGTACGTGTCTGGCAACTTGTGTCTGTTTGTTGTACGTGTATGTCCATTTTGCGTTTGATTTGTACGTGACTGACAACTTTTTTGTGTGTTGTACGTGTCTGACAACTTGTGTTTGTGTGTTGCACGTGACTGACAACTTGTGTTTGTGTGTCGCACGTGTCTGACAACTTGTGTCTGTTTGTTGTACGTGTCTGACCATTTTGTGTTTGATTAGTACGTGACTGACAACCTGTGTTTGTGTGTTGTACGTGTCTGAGAACTTGTGTTTATGTGTTGTACAAACTTGTTTGTGTTGCACATGTCTGACAACTTGTGTTTGTGTGCTGTATGTGTCTGAGAACTTGTGTTTGAGTTGTACGTGTCTCACAACTTGTGTTTGTGTTGTACTGACAGCTGGTGTATGTGTTGCTCGTTTCTGATTACTTGTGTTTGTGTATTGTTCGTGACGGACAGCTGTGTTTATGCTGTACGCGATTTACAACGTGTGTTTGTGAGCAGTTTTACCTGTGTGGATGCTTGTGATAGTCTGTCTCACGTGTCTGACAACTAGTGTGTGTTTGTTGTATGTGCTTGACAACTTTGTTTGCGTGTTGCACGTATCTGACAACTTGTGTACTGGTGTTGCATGTGTCTAACACCTTGTTCCTTGTACTGAACTGGCCATAAGGTTGGGTCTGATACAGTGAGTGTTTGGCCAGCCACCTCGAAAACAACTGAGCTGTTACCACAAATCTTGATCTCACTTACGACAATGACTGCACAAAGTCAGCACACTGGCAGCTGACGAGACACACACCCTCCCCCTCCCCAACACAACCTCCAGATCAATCCCCGCCACCCCACGCACCGCACCATGCACGCCCGCGTTTATATACCGCCACTGACCCAGTTTATTCGATAAAAATGAAAACTGGGTCGTGTATGTTAAGTTTTGCCCCGATAAACATAGCAGATCTGTTTGGGTGTACAACCTACTGCATAGAACACACGGGGGGATTACGATTACTCTAGTATGCAAACTACAAATGCATAAGGGGTCGGTGGGGTAGACTTGTGGTTAAGCCGTTCGCTCGTCACGCCGAAGATCCGGGTTCGATTCCCCACAGGGGCGGACACAGCTTTTTGAGAAAGGGGTGGGGTGTGTGTGGGGTGGGGTTGGGGGTGGGGTGGGTTTCAGTCTTGAAAGGGTGTGTGTGTGTTGTTGTTGTTGCACACTTCATTTCCATCGAGTTTCAATGGTCATTTAATAACATTTCTGGATCCGCCTATACCCCACATGAGTACAATGTGAGAAGCCCATTACTGGTGTTCCCCGCTTTGATATTACTGAAACAATGACAAAAGCGGCGTAAACCCATACTCGCTCGCTCACTCACTCACTCACTCACAAATACGTCATAGTGTGAAGGAATTAATGTCTTGCTTGTTAAATTCAGCAAGTTGGGATTGGAAATACATATTTGCAGCCCTGTGTCACCGGAAGGATACTGCGTTGACGACCAATCGTGGAGTGCGTGAATGTCGTTTTTTATGCGACGGCGGTCCTCTATGTGTTCACCAGTTCAAAATATCAATATTTTTGTTTTAAAAAATATCAATTAATATTTTAAAATGTTGCGTATTTGATCAAATATGTATTTCATTTTAAGAACACATTCAACCTATAAAGTATATAATAGGCCATGCATTTCAGGGAACGTACACTTAGGGAAGGTGCATTGTGGTGCTCTGTAAGTTTAATTTTATTTAGTTTTGCTTTTCCAAGGCAACAACTGCAAATAAGCTTAGGGTTTTCTTTGGTGCCACACCTTAGATTGTGATTCATCGGTATCATTTTGACCCAAAGAGGCTATAGACAGTTGCAATGCATCGTTTGTTCCACCAAGCCTGACCTCGGACATTCAAATACTGCAAAACCGGCAATGCCCTTTGTCCTTTGCCAATTGTTTGGATGAAGTGTCCTTGTCTAAGGGGTACTGGAACCACGAGAGTTTGTCTTTGGACAATCAAATCATTGAAGTTTGTTCTTGCACACATCGTCTTTCATGTTCCTTTAGCCATTTGACCCTTTGACGGTTTGACCGCAGTTATCAGATTGCCGGAGGGTTGGTTTAATGCAAGTTGCAAAGTTCGTTACTAATCAGTTCATTTTCTCGCGACAAATATATAAAGTCCCTGCATCCTGATATACACCATCAAATGCAGCCTTATTTCATATATAATACGGCATGTTTCATGGTAATGCCACTTGGTATACTTCTGAAGATCATCTTTCATCATCGCGTTCTCGTTTCTCCTTTTCCAATCGCCACAGACGCTTCATCTTGTCACACACCTCCTCGTCGTAGTCCTCCAACTGGTCCATCAGGTGAAGCTGCTGGCAAGAAGGTCGTTCATGTAAGTGATACCACATGAAAACTACATGACCTACTTAGGTCATATCACACACGCACGAGCGCACACAAATACGCACACACACTTACACATACACACAGACACATACATGATGCATCCACTGATAGTGATGTAAAGGTTTGTATCCATCTTGTTTCAAATGATGGATAGCAGATACTGTCTTTGCAATATCGTCTATGACACCTTGATACTATAAGATAAAATAAGAAATTTTATTCATACAAAAAAGGCACGTGCATCCATCTCAGATTTCTGTTCCATACAGATCATTTATATCTGGACATAACTACCAAACGTAAGAATAAAAGTGATACCCACAGATTATTTGAGATTGTAATTGAAATAACATTTTTTTAAAGTTGTAGGCCCACATGTTGATTTTTTTTTAGTAGAAAGGAAACAATTTCCTACAGTTAATGAAACTGATAATTTGAAACACGATCAAATCAAATAATGTAGTTATGATTGATAGTTTCAAAACATTTAGTAAAATAATGTATTTGCATTAAAATGGAAACAACATTTCATCTTTGATCAATTTCATCACAATCAATTAAATAATGCAGTTATAACTGATAGTTTCAAAAACATTTAATTCAAATTATATATTTGCATTACAAATGGAACAATTCCTTACAGTAAACAACCCTTCATCTTTGATGTTTAAGGTAGGGTACAGAGCAACAAACACCTCCCGTCCGATTGTCCGGGCGATGTCCCTGAAACAGTCCAAGAGCTTAGAGTCACAACCTTAGATATACGGTCTCTTTTTGAAAAATAGACTTCATTTTATATAATGAGTAAACTATGAAGTGAAATAATAAATGCAACTTTTCTATCTGGTGTTCTTGGGGCTTTACTGCATGTATTGAGCCCAGTAATATATTATACTTACGACAGTAGCTATTTGTTCATTTATGTACATGTTAGGAACATAGGTCTTGTTACATTTTGTTATTTAAGACTAGATGCTGGTTGTGAGTGAGTAAATAAATTTTATAGTCACAGCGGTATTTGAGCAATATCGTGACTTGAAATATTTATAAATTCATGATAAATGCACAAATTTTAAAAAACCTGTCGACGAAGGACAGTAAAACCAACTAGTATATCACTGTATCAGAAATAAAACCAGCATATATCTCTAAAAAAGGAGTTCAGATTAGGACAATACAATATAAAATAGGGCTGAGGATAACCAACAACTGATGGTAGATCACCACTCTAGGGTCCATGGGGACTTACAGTACTTTGGCTACCTGCATGGACCCTAGCTGGGTTTATACCATCCCTTCAGCCACTGGTGATTGTACTGATTGCTGTTGTGAGTATGCTGTCGACAGCGACGATGTAGAGTACTTACGGTTGTAATGTTGCAATTTGGTCATTTATCCACATGTCACGGTCCGTGTCGTAGTCTTAAAAATTAAATTCTTTAAAGAATCACAGATTCATGGATTGATATAAGCCCCATTTGTTATGAGGAATATATTTCAAAGCATTTACAGTTAGGCACCTCTGGACCCCAAGAAAAAGACTCGGTTCGTGTACGGATCCAAGCAGTAAATTTCACGAAAGCTAACGGCGCCACTTTGGTAGCACAAATTATTATAACCGAGATCTGTTTGTAATTTAAATTATTTAGTTATTCTTTCGAAATTTCGATATTTTCTAATTGTTTTTAGCAAGAGGCGACTAAGAGGATCGAGTGGTCAGACTCGCAGTGTTGATCACTGGACTGTCTGGTCCGGACTCTATTATTTACAGACGGCCGCCATGTAGCTGGAATATTGTGAAGTGCTGCACTAATAAGAAAACAAATTACAACATAACAGTAGAAAGCTCTTAGTTATATTACCAGTCTCGTAGCCACTGCCAGAGCTTGTAGTTTTGGTCAAGCTGTCCCCAGAGTCAGTGTTACTGGTGATATCTTCGCATCTCCCGGTGTCTGGATATCTGTTGCTGTTGCATCCTTCCCTCTCGTATAGAGTACGGTTGTTGGTTTCAGGAGTCTCAATATCCGAGTTCTTGTTGGTGCCTCTGCTCATCTCTGTGTTGGAATGCCTGTGTTGTTCCGGAGCGTTGAAGAAACTTCGTGGTGATGCGATGAAACTACCAGACATCCCGAAAGAACTGATATCCGTTTCATAACCACTGCCTGATGAAGAATACAATTGTGAGGATGAAGGAGCGAAGGTCACAGTCTTTTTCATCTGCTGCTCACGCCCATCACGTCTAAAAAGCGTATCCGTTTTCAAAGCAACATCAATACCTTGACTAGATGGTTTAGCAGACGTAGTGCCTTCACAGGAATTGGTGCCTTTCCAGTTCCTGCCGTTGATCTGCTGGTCACGCTCCGCTCGTCTAACAAGTGTAAGCGTATTCAAAGCAACATCAATACCTTGGTTAGATGGTTTAGCAGAAGTAGTGCCTTCACGGGAGTTGATGCTGTTCCTGTTACTGATCTGTTGGTCACGCTCTGCTCGTCTAGCAAGTGTCAACGTATTCAAAGCAATGTCAATACCTTGACTAGATGGATTAGCAGAAGTAGTGCCTTCACAGGAGTTGGTGCCTCTGCTGTTCCTGTTGTTGATCTTCCTGTCACGCTCCGCTCGTCTAACAAGTGTAAACGTATTCAAAGCAACATCAATACCTTGGCTAGACGATTTAGCAGAAGAAGTACCTTCACATGAGTTGATGCTGTTCCTTCCTCTGCTCTCAAAAACAGGGGTCATATGACAGTTTGGGTAAAGACTAGATGATGGCTCTGAGGATGCTGTCGACACTGACGAGGTAGAGCTTATTCCATCATGTGGTGTGTAACCACTCTCTGCAAGAACCTTCAGGATCACATCTGCATCTGGACGGCAGTCAGCATCACTCATCAACATCTTCCTTATTAAATCCTTGAAGAAAGAGCTGTATTTGACATAAGTCGCGATATAGGAGACCTGTAATTCATAAACGGAACAATCACAATTGACAAGACTGTTTGTATGAAGGGCCACAAGCATTAGACTAGATTAGTTACGTATTGGGTAGAACGCTGAGGTTTTCTGCCCATGATCGATGTATAGATTGGATTATTCCCGGAGGGAATATTTAATTCGAATAAAAAATTCGAATGTTAGTTTAAGTTCGAGATATGGAGGGTATCCACTGATGATAAATGCTATATTGTAACCCCCGAAATTACAATGTGTGATGTATGACAAATGGATAAGATATAGCATTTGCTTGTTGCATTATTCAAACTATGACAGCTGTCTGTAAACACTCAAATTTGGATCAGACAATACAGTGATCAACATCATGGGCGTCGACCTAATTGGGAAATGATGGCATGTGTCAACCAAAATGACAGGGATTTTTCTTGCTTGCTTACTCAAATAGAAAATATCAAACTTACTGGATTTGGCTTTGGTGACCTCAATGTTGCTATTTCAAAAGCCGTACATCCAAAACTCCAGATGTCTGTCTGGAATATATACAAACAGACATCCGGGATAAGACACATGTCTGAAGTCCAGTTTATATTTTACAACCTTGCTTCATTATGCAATTGTCTTTGATCCGAACAGCCATAAGGGTTGATTTGTGTGAAACTGATGCTATTAAAACATGGTGGTTTGGTAGTGGCTAAACTGTTCGTTCGTCACGGCTAAGGGCCGAGTTCGACTCTGCATAATGTGTTCACCTAATTTAGGTGTCTCCGCTGTGATTCTGAGTGAATATTGATACAATTGGAGTAAATACCTTCATCATTGACACGGGCACCGAGCTAAAGTATATCAACTGATGACTCACTATCGCCGTTATTTGTAATGACGGCGATATACCTTTCTGTCATATTTCTTCCCTTGAAGCAGCTCTGGACTCATGAAGTTGGCTGTTCCAACTACTGACCTCGCCACATCGTTGAAATGTTTCAGACCCCTGTGAGAAAGAAGGGAAATGAATGCTTAAAATAACGATGTTTAATGACAAAAAGTGCATTCATAAGTCATCTGAGGTCAACTACCCAACGTTGTAGTTCATTACATAAACATTCAGTTTCAAAATCGAGTGTAAACAAAGTGTCGTGGCGGTGTTGTAGCCTAGTGCTTAACGTGTTCGCTTGTCACAATGAAGACCCGGGTTCGATTCCCCACATGGGTACAATGTGTGAAGCCCATTTCTGGTGCCCCACGCCGAGATATTGCTGGAATATTGCTAAAAGCGGCATAAAACTGTACTCACTCACTCACTCGTTACACTATGTACATAAGAGCATGCGTGTCCCACCAGAAGCAACTGCTGTAGCAGGAAGATGTGGTTGGTTAGATAAGCTTCCTGAAATTCCACCGTTGTCTTAGAATTCAAACAGTATTTGATGTATACGGGGGCGTGATGTGATCAACATGGAATGAGGGCTGAGTCTTCGAAGACAGACCCGTGAAGATCCGGGGTAAAATAGGTCTTCAGCAACCCATGCTTGCCACAAAAGGCGACTATGCTTGTCGTAAGAGGCGACTAACGGGATCGGGTGGTCAGGCTCGCTGACTTGGTTGACACATGTCATCGGTTCCCAATTGCGCAGATCGATGCTCATGCTGTTGATCACTGGATTGTCTGGTCCAGACTCGATTATTTACAGACCGCCGCCATTAGCTGGAATTCTGCTGAGCGCGGCGTAATACTTAACTCACTCACTCACTTCGAAGACATCGAGATTCGCCGAGGAGAGTTACGTTCCCTGAGTGTGCCAAAATAGTTGGATCTTTTGTTCGAATTTCACATTCATCTTGATATAGTTCTGGATTTGTGAGTGAGTGAGTGAGTGGTGTTTAAAGCCGCTTTAAATACTACTGATTTCATGAGTGAGTGAGTGAGTGAGAGAGTAAAACCGTTTTAAATAATTATTTTATGTGTGAGTAAGTGTGAGAATGTTGTGTTTAAAGCCGCCTTAAGTTATTATTTCAGTTTGATTAAAGAGGACAGGCTTTGGGCATTTACAAATTTGATGACATCTAGGAACAGGCCAGACAAACATAGAAACAAAATCAATAGCAAACTGGAATTCAAACCCGAAACCACAGGTTTATGAGCGCTCAAACTTAACGAACTTTTCGGTCTGTATTTATACTCCCAGATTCAGAAAATCCCATTATGATTTTACCGAATACTTAGTATTTCAGCAGGTGTTGTAAGAGGGGAGGCAAGACTCATCCAAAAGGAGGGTGGGGCGTAAGGGTTCAAAAATCGAAAATCAAAATCACTGCCACAATGAGGTTACACACTTATGTGATGACGTCATGAACACAAAATGGCGGATTTCTTGTTCAACCATCCAATCGGAGACAGTTTGTTGCTTGTCCTTGATACAGGAAGAACTGAAGCATGTTTCATGGAATTGGGGGCTCTGTGGGAGGAAGAGATGTATTTTTCACTGCTTACTTTGACAATCCAAAGCCTCCGATCTTCAAAACCACTGTTTCCCTGTAGCACCACACGAGGACGTTGGACGTCTTCAGGTTCCTGTGTATGACGTTGTGGCTGTGGATATGCTGCAACAGAAGATGTTTTCTAAACTGCACCCGATGACCGATAGCTCGAAGCATATTAAAACGGTGACAGTTTATTTGCATGAATGCGAATTATGTACTCAATTTTCTTTCCACTGACCTCTAAACCGGAAGCTATCTGAGCTAGCCAACATCCGAACAGTTCCTCTTCCGGCGGATGTTGGAGTGTCTTTTCCAGATAGTGCCGAAGGTCACGACCTTGACAGTACTCCATGACCAGGTACAGTTGCCGCGCCCCCTGTCGGTCTCTCTCCTCCCAGCAGTCAAGGTATTTGACGACGTGCATGTGTGCAAACTGTGACAGAGTGACCGCTTCTGTCAGAGTGCACTGATCGTTTTTATCCGAGAAGTTAGACAGTGGCGACACCTTCACTGCATACTGGCAAGGATAAAATGGACGTTGATTAGGTATTCAAATATATAACATCAGGATCCAGGAATTTTAAAAACGGGTGTGGGATGTGTGTGTGTGTGTGGGGGGTTTGTCAGAGTAAAACGAAAAAAATCTTCAATGTGGTCTTAAGTCATTTTCAAAAGGGGGGTGGGGGGGAATCCGCCACTGTCGTTTACCCTTCGCAGTGAACAGTATTCCAGTTAGGTCAAGTGTCAGACTTGGAATACTTTAAACAGGTTAATAACGTGTGGAAAGTCTTACTTGTGATTTGTCGGGACCTTCTGCTTTGTACACATTCCCGAAATATCCAGTTCCAAGTAGCCGTGAAGGACACACGTACTGCACCACTGCAGCCCTCAGGGTGGGACGTGGTCCGCCAGCGGCCATTCTAGGTCCTGCAGAGAGTGAGTTTAGTTTTACGCCATTTTTAAGCAATAAGCCCAGACATGGGCTTCACACATTGTACCCATGTGGAGAATCGAACACGGGTCTATCGCGTTACAGGCCAACGCTTTAACCACTAACCACTACTGAACAACCATGTTTTCTTAAAAATTCAGACATTGATATCTATGTGTCAAAAGATATTTTGAAGAAATCATTTCCATGGATATCACCTCTGTATCATAGTTCACAAGTCCAAACCGTCTCTTACCTGGTTATGGGACGCCGTGTAGAATCCAGGCATATAAGAGTTAACGCTAATAATTGTTTTCCAAGGGTCTCTCTTTCAACATCAACATGTTAGCTGATCAACTTCCCGAATCTTATAGCGTTTACCTGTCTGTTGGAATCACAGACCTTCTTCTCAGAAATACTCCTCAAATGTTTGTACACAGGTATGAGGAAGATTGCAGTGTGTACTGCATTTCGCAGTGACCCTCCCGCTTCAACAATAAACAATCAAATAGTGGCACGATGCCAACGTCTTTGTCACGTATCAACGTCTCGGCCGCATTCTATTACCCCCGTGGTTCTACTTAAATAGCATTATGAAACATGTGGTCATAGATTACGCGCCAACTCGCAAGCCGAAGCAATGAGTTAACCTAGAAATCTATTCACAAAAGAATTCGTCCCGTGAAGATCCGGGTTAGAATTAGTGAGTGAGTGAGTGAGTTTAGTTTTACGACGCTATTAGCAATATTCCAGCAATATCACGGAGGGGGAAACCAGAAATGGGCTTCACACATTGTACTCATGTGGAGGTTAGAATTAGTCTTCAGTAGCCCATGCTTGTCGTAAGAGGCGACTAACGGGATCGGGTGGTCGGGCTCGCTGACTTGGTTGACACATGTCATCGTATCCCAGTTGCGTAGATCGCTGTTCATGATTTAGATCAGTGGATTGTCTGGTCCAGACTCGATTATTTACAGTCCGCCGTCACATAGCTGGAATATTGCTGAGTGCGGCGTTAATCAACAAACAAACAACAAACAACACAAAATGAATTAGGCATGAGACCAACAAGCAGCAAGGGGTGTACAAAAAATTGTTTTGTAAATATCTGTTGCATAAAACATAGAATCGAACACTAAAGCAACAGACTCACAGATGATAATATTGTACACTTATACCTATGTCAGGTTTAACATGGGTGCACTGAAATCATACACAAATTCATACACTGCATGCGATGCCGAAGCTTTAGATTGGCTAGCAGTTAGCAATACGTTTATTGTTACGTGTTAACATTCAAATTGTAATTGAAACAGTAAGTCATCCCAAGAAGATTACGAAATTTCATTAGCAAAACAATATCTTCATGCCTCACTCTGAAGAGGTTTCGAATCCAGGATTGGGCTCAGCAAAAACGAAACACAGCTTTATGATACTTACACACTGTCTAAATTACACTGGGGCGGTGGGGTAGCCTAATGGTTAAAGCGTTGGCTCGTCACGCCGAAGACCCGGGTTCGAATCCCCACATGGGCACAATGTGTGAAGCCCATTTCTGGTGTCCCCAGCCGTGATTTGCTGGAATATTGCTAAATGTGGCGTAAAACCAAACTCAGTCAGTCTAAATTACACTGCATACTAATTATACTGTCTAAGAAGTGTTATTTGTATGCAATATGCAATATCAAATGCGATATCTGATCATGTACTTTCAGATTTGTGCAATGGTTGCATACCATGAATGCCAATGTATTACCATTGGGGTTAGAATTACCGAAAGTCAAACATCGTGTATATGCACTGGTGCAAACATCACTGTTTGACGCCCTGGATGATAGAGGATATATATGTTCCTTCTCTTCTCTTCCCTTTACAATGATATCACCCAACAGTCATGTGTAGGGCACTCATGTAGCCGAGTAATTAAAGAGTTCAATCGTCTCTTGGAGGACCCGGGTTCGATTCCCCATAGTTGCAATATGTGAAACCTATTTCAGTTGTCCTGGAATATTGCTAAAAGCAGCGTAAAAACCATACTTACCCACTGCCATTTGGGCATGCGAATAGTGTAATAGTGACTATAGTGCTTTAAGAAAATAGTTCCTTTTTTGTAAATGCATAATTATGCACATAGGTTTTGAGGTATTGCCTCTGGTATAGAATTGTGTCAAATGCCGTTTTATCGGCGGAACAGTGGCGTCGATTAATTCGCCAGGTGCGCTTTTGTCTCAAACGTTATACGATTTACTCGTCTCGTTTTATATCATTGAAACCATTTGTCAAAATTTACAACAATATTGTAATGACAGAATATTAAACCGTTACTTATATTTCTGCAATAACTGTAACACATAGACATCAACCATCCTATCCTATAGCGCCTACCACTATATTTCTACCTGTGTGCAAAAGTGACGTAAAACAACCAACCGACCAACCGACCAACCAACCGACCGACCAACCAACCATCCAAAAGGAGCTTTTTTTGCCTCTTTTGTTTCATATTTTTTAAAGAAATAGCCACATAAATTAAATGCTGAGCAATACCAAATCCAAAATTAAAAATATGTTCGTTACTTTAGGTACAGTTTTTTAATTTATGTTAAATTGATGCCTCAGATTTAAGTGATGTCTAACTCAGATACACGGTCAATCACCTTTACCTATTAAAGCTATCATTTACAGACGAAAAAACATCAAATTCTGTTTAACAAATCGAGGTTTTTATTTAATACAATGAACGAAAGTGTAAAATATATATCTATACGTTATGGATGAAGTCTTCTTCTTGCTTGACAAGAATCTATACCGAAAACGTCTCATCATAATAGTATAATACAAAAGTTGTTATCCATAAAGTATGCTGCCTTTCTTATTACTCATCGTCGATTTCTTACACCCACCTCACGTATTCCACAAGAAAGTCCTGGTACAGACTTTCCTTATTCGACTCTGCTGTGTGGTTTATGTAATTAATTGTGATGTTAATTTTCTCGTGGTTTTTGCCTTTAAGAATAGAATTGCTGATAAATATTTTAAGAAGGTTTAGCCACAAAGGTCTGAAGAGTAGTCTCCCTTGCACCATTAATGTCAACATACAAGCAGCAGTCTTCCATGTCATGTAAGGTTAGCAGAAAAATATTGGACGACGCAATTGAGTCTTCCGGACGAGATTGGACATTGTTGACGTCGTTGGAGAGGTCCTGTGACGTCAAGTGGAAATGACGTCACACCTTAGAAACACAGTGTTATAGCTTAGCCCCCATTACACCAGTATATTATTCCCCTACGACAGTGGTATTGTTTGTTAGTTATTTTACGCCGCACTCAGCAAAATTCAAGCTGTTTAGCGGCGAGTCAAGCCCAGACAATCCAGCTATCTACGGCAGCGGTAACAGCTAACTCAACACTGAGCCAGAGTGTGAACCGTATGTGTCATACGGATTTTGCGAACCTTCTGTAAATGTTGGTGCACTGCTGACCGGGATCGGGTGGTCAGGTTCGCTGACATGGTACAAGTCATCGTATAATTGCCTAGATCGATGCTCATGCTGTTGATCACTGGATTGTCTGGTTCAGGCTCTATTAATTATAGACCGCCACCATATAGCTGGAATATTGCTGAGTGCGGCGTAAAATTTAACTCACCATAAATAGTTAAAAAGAACGGATTGATATTGAAAATAAATAATTTAAATAAGTCTTGTTTTTTGGGTTTTTTTGCTTGTAGTTTTTTTTCTTTTCCTTTCCGTTTGTTTGTTATTAATTCGTAACACCTTAAACCTACATACAGTTGTCAGTGAAGGGTTATCTCTTCACGAGTCCATAGTGAAAGGGGTTATCTCTTCATGAGTCCATGATTTATTTACAAGCAGGGTTGGGTCATGGGTCAAACGTAGTCTTCATGCAAAGTAGACAAATCTAACGCTCTCCTACCCAGAGTTCCGTGCAGCTAGTATAGTACCTCTGCCACAGGCAGTCTAAACCACAGGGGCGAAGCGTGACACGCCCCTGTGGTCTGAACATCTTTGGTGGAATGGTTTAGTTTCACTGAGTGAGTATGATTTTACGCCGCCTTTAGCAATATTCCAGCAATATCACGGCGGGAGACACCAGATATTGACCTCACACATTGTACCCATGTGGGGAATCGAACCCGGGCCTTGGCGTAACTAGCCAACGCTTCAACCACTAGGCTACCCCACCTCCCCTTAGTTTCTTTCAGAAAATATCCTAAACGTGCAGCACTATTTCGATTTCTGTCATAGGTTGTGGGACTCCGTGTGCTTTCATCGACGGGGACGAGTCTTCTTGGAGGTTACGGAAAGGGGCGAGCGGTGATGCTTGCTATGTGTGAAAATACGACAAACCAATCAGAACGTGTGTAATGACTGCCGTGCTTTGATAAATATAATCCCGAGTACTTAAATCGTTTATGGCTTTATGTCATTTATTTAAAAGTAATGAAAAATATATTGTCATATTGAAAGAACAAAGAACGTAGCTAACAGTATTTTGTTGCCTGTTGTGAAGTTTTTAATAAGAATCATGCGATTGACGGTGAGAGATTCAAATATACGCGCGTGCGTTTGTTGACAAAACGGCTCTCGTGGGTGCAACTGAGTGTATTTCTGACGATCTTCCAGCTTTGTTATGGAGATTGTACGTGCGCTTCTAACAGTTTTAGGAAATGTAATTACAAATCGCTACGAGTTTCTATATATGCATGTAAGTAATCAACTTTAATCTTTAACATTGGGCTTATCTTTCACAGCTCTGGGAATATTTTAGTCATTCATATTTTTTTCAGCGAATTAATTTAATATTCCACCAGGGGTACGACAGCAAGGTTACACGAATGTTCATTTTGAGAAATATTCAAGTCATTCTTGAGTATCTGCTTTGGGGTTTAATGTAGTTGATTTTTTCAGATTTTATTTGCATATTCAATAAAACAATTGTGATTGATAACCCCTATTGAGAAATATACATTTGGATATAAAAGATCAACAGCTGGTTGTAATTAAGATAGAATATGTCTTTTACAAATATTTGTTCTCCTTCTTTTAGTTGTATCAAAGAGGTTTCATTAACAAAAATGAATTTTAAAAAAAAACAGCAATACGATATACAAGTGCTTGGGTGATATTAAGTACCATTGGAATCAAACAGGGATAGAGTTATTGTTCTTGTTTAAAGTAGTTCTGATGTTCATGCGCCAATAATGAATTCC